ATAATGTTAATCATGTGGTTTGTAAAATCGAAGGGAAAACTAGAGGAAACTACCCCAAAATCAAAAGTAGCAAAAGATTAAAGTTAACCCCACTCAAATCAAAGATGAAAAGATAAACATGTGGTCGATTTCTTACTAGAAAGTACTAGAGAATGGCAGCCTCCCTTACACTACACAAGAACCCAACATGAACCAAAAAAATTGGGGAATATTAGCAATAAGATCTGGGTTTTGATCTTGATTTTGAAAACCATAAACTCATAAATCTCTAAATTAAACTTTGAAAGAAGAAAAAGAACTAAATCTCACTCTCACCTAAGTTTTTGTGAGAAAGGACTAGGCACAAGTTAAGGCTTGTGAAGGAAATTTCTTGTCAGAGCTATGGGAGAATCATGTAAGAGGCCAAGAGAAAAATAGAAAAATTAGCCTCAGCCCTTTTTATTCACTAGATTTTCACTTTTAACCCCTCTTAACTTTGTGAATTTTAACCATTAGACCCAACAATAATAATTCGTCCCATATAAATCCCTAACTTAAATTTAAATTTACTGATACTAATGTATTCATGTATATATGTACACATTTAAAATTTCTGAAATTTTGGAATATTACAGACATTTTAAAAATAGTTATTAGTTATTGATTTTAATCAAATAGATTAAATATGTTGAATTATAAATATTAATAAATTATCAATCATTAGATATTAATTATCAACTATTAATTTTTAAAAAAAATTATCCAAACAACCTATTAATATTTAATTGTTATGGGTCCCACCAAAATTCAATTATAAAAAAAGGAGGGTTTGGATGTCTGATGGATTAACATTAACGATCAAGTAAACTGTCTGTTACCTCAAAATTGGATGAAACTTGTATGGAGGGACGACATTGATACCTTTTTCAATATTAGGGGGAGGACATGTGTAATTAATTAATAGTAGAGGGAGGACATGAGGTAAATTGAAAGTAGAAGGTTTAAATTAAACTTGTTAATAGTAGAGGAACGAGTAGTTGGCATTAACCTAATATTTTACAAATTTTAGAAACTATTTGGAAATAAGACTAACTTTCTAGATTAAAATGAAACTAGACTGATAATTAATAGACCAATCATTAAATTAAGCCATTCTTTACTTCACTTATCTACAGCCACTTGTAAAATTTTTAAATAAAATAAATTCTAACATAGTTTATAATCTGTCAATGACTTAAGCAATTAAATGATAGTTTTTTTCTGTTGAAAGTAAGAATTTTTAAATTTGAGTCACATAACACGTGAGTAAAGTAAATTATAAAATGAGAAAAAGTAATTAATCTCTCATTGTACCACTCAAAATTAATTAAAAAAAAAAGAAGAAAAAACTTAGTTCCTAATCTAAATGAGGTAACCTATTTCTCAAATTACGAATCATTCCCTTTCTCAAAAATCAATTCTTACACATTAGTAATAACAAAATTCAAATTCAAACTCATTAGT